GGTGCGCTCACAGCGCTCACTGGCTGAGTGTGGTGCAGCCGGTCTCAAAAAGGAAAAGAAAAAAAGTTCTTCTAGGGCCGGTCATGTGGCTCACTCGGGAGAGTGCCGCACTGGTAGCGCCAAGACCACGGGTTCAGATCCTATATCGGGATGGCGGGTGTGCTCACTGGCTGAGTGTGGTGCGGACGACACCAAGCCAAGGGTTACAATCCCCTTACCGATCAAAAAAAATATATATATATAGTTCTACTAACTACGTATTTTTGTATTTTCCAACCAAAACAACATATTACAACGGATTGTATACAAAAGCAGTGTAAAAATTTGGTACTATTTTCTGTTGAGCCAGATATTGAAGCCAGGCAATTTCACTCTTGAAAAAACTTTTTGTTTTGGAAAATAGTTATTTTTTCATGAAAATGTTATTTGTGTTTTAAAAAATTTTTTTTAATTATTTCAAAAAGAAAGCACAAATGATAAATGGGATAAAATGTTAACAGTGGGCCAATCTGGTTAAAGGCTTAACAGGTGTTCCTTGTACTATATCTATTATTGCAACTTTATATTTAACTTACAACTTTAAATTTAAATTGCTTCCAAATAAAAAGCTTTAAAAAAAAAAAAAACAGGTGCAAAAAAGAGAAACATGTAAAATTTTTAAATTTGTTTCCTTTAAGACAGAGCAAATTTCCTACACCACACTTAGCCAGTGAGTGCACTGGCCATCCCTATATAGGATCCAAACCCAGGGCCTCAGCGCTACCAGCGCTACACTCTCCCAAATGAGCTACGGGGTCGACCCGTATAAATGAGATTTTAACAAACAAAGGGCAGTTCATAATGTTCTTCTAGTTAGTCTCCCATTAATTTACAATAGAATGGTTTGGCTTTTGATGACGTCTATGATGTTACTATAGCCAATTTATAAATCACATTTTTTTATTTAGTTCTTTCTTGCTTGGCTCTCTTTTAAAATTTATTCTTTTAGTAATAATACGGGTTTATCTCCTTGGACAACCTTCTCCTTTCAGAGGATATCTGCCTGGAATTGCATCTCCCTCTCTCAATTTCTTTTAATTCCCAATAGTCCAAATCTGTATACTGTGAAGTTACAGATGTTCTCTATACTTTCCATTACTAATTCAATGATTTTATTTAATGTTGTGCTCCTCTAAGCAAGGATTTATTATGACAAATGATATTAATCGTGAGGATCTTAAGTAATTAAACCATGAAATTAAACGGAAGAAATTAGTTTTTCACTTTGCTGTGACTTTTTACTTTTCCTTGCTGAGATCAGCTTCCATTGACTGGATTTTCATCCCACTTGACCTAAATATTTTTTTCCTTTTTAATATTTTATTGGAATTTGGTGGGCTTGTTATATATTACTTTTAATACATAAACCTACACAGTGAAGTATATTTCTGTATTAATAATCCTTTTATTTCTTTCGAAATGTAGGTACTACCTTGGGCACAAGTTAAATGACACAGTAAACCGTAGTAAGTTAATAAGTGATCAAAACATTGCAAAATCAGGCCCCAAGTTTAAAAGCTGAGTAACTATTGTGAATATCCATGTAGAGATTTACCTCTGGGATGTCAAAATCTGTAAATCCCCATCACGTGGCGGGGTGGAGGGAGTAGTAGATAGGAAGGAGCACTGAAGGAGCTGACTCCGGGTTCCTCAATAACCTCACTTTTAGATATGTTTGCAGAATAGTGTGCAGCTTTGTGAAAACCAGTCACTTGGAAGGGACATCTGTATTCCTTTCATTTGCTTTTTTATTGATAAAAATTTATTGGTGCTTTTTAGAAGCCAGAGTACTGAGAGCTTTATAAACTCTTGGACTGAAGTTCATGCTAAATAAATGCACTTAAAAGTATGTGTCCATAAGAATCTCACATGAAAAATAGGCTGTATAATAATGGGTTACTGTTGATGTGCTTATTTCTCTCATAGCAGCAATGACAATTATGTAAATAAGTCAAAAGCCACATTTTAAAAAATTGATTATTTTAACAGTAAGCCTGAAATGGGGTCTTTTGACCCCATTCTGTGGTTCAATAAATATTGAACCACAGAAAAGTGTGTGTTTTAGAACAAAACACAGTCCAGATAATAGGTAGCAAGGGCCAGAATGATTTTTTTGATTGAAGCGCATTCATTATAAAGCCATGTGTCAAATTCTTCAGTTTTATCCAGATTGATGTAGACTTTTAACAAATAGGAAGTTTAATTTGCCCTACAAGTACACTTTATTTTGTGGCTGTTAATGGACTCTTGAAGTTTCTTTTGGCAGATGGAGATGGACACATGGATCACTTACTGCCAGGCTGTGAAGATATAAACTGCCAGAAAAGCACCATCTACTTGTCGAGATCCGGAACAAAGCAGGTACTCAGCTTGTTTTTTGGTTTTTTTTTTTCCTTTTTGTCTTTTTTTTTTACTGACCGGTAACGGGATCGCAACCCTTGGCGTCGTGCCCGCACCGGGGACCGGTAACGGGATCGCAACCCTTGGTGTCGTGCCCGCACCGGGGACCGGCAACGGGATCGCTACCCTCGGTGTCGTGCCCGCACCGCGCTCAGCCAGCGAGCAGGAACCGGTCTCCACATGGGATCCGAACCCTCGGCAGGAGCACCGCCACGCTCCTAAGCAGCGCACTCTCCAGTGCGCCACCGGGCCGGCCCTCAGCTTGTTTTTTTAACATAGCCTTATGTGTTGAAAAAAATCTTCAAAGGTTAGAAAAGGTATCTGAAGATTCAGAAAAGAGAGAAACTCAAAATTAAGTTATTCAGTTCCTCATTTTAATTTAATGAAATATATTCAAATCTATTTTTGTTCGTTTATTGAGGGGTAAAGTACTGTCACAATCATTCTGGTGAAGAAAACCAATCATGTATCTGTAATTAAATGATCTGTTAGCATTTTATGTGCCAGAAATATAGGAAAACCACTATAATAAAGAGTTATGTAGAAGAACATTATACCTATTTTCAAAGCTAATCTTGTTTTTATTTGTGGTGTCTAAATCTATTTCATTTTGTCATGCTGACTTTTTACCAGTAGCTTGTGGGTAACCAATTTAGAATATGATAGTCACAGAGGAGAATTAATATGGGAATGATAAGGTTATGACAGTAATAGTAAAATTAATCTGTTTTATTTTCTTTGGGGGGGTAATAAATGATAGAATAACAAGCTGACTTTTGTAGCCTTTATGGACACAGAACATCACATTTTATACTAAAACACTAAAGAAAAGAAGTCTTCATACAGTCAGCATTCTAAAAGCATTTAACTATTGCACCCATAAGTTTTACTGCCTTTAATTTTTTTTAAGTTTTAAATCATTTAAAACATTAGGTCACATAACACCTCATCATTGGTTCATAGGCATAAGTAAACCTGGTAATTTTAGCCTATCTTCAAATGACAGACTACTGTAAGAATATTTGCAAATTATATAATCATCTTTCTCTGGGAAGAAGAATTTTATAGTTCTTTGGTGACTGTTATGGATATCACATTAAGTGAAAAATCTTCTTACTTTTTAGACCTTAATATATTTACCTTCATAGGAAAACTATCCAGTGTGGTTTGTCCTCATTGATAAACTGTCAGCCTCTTCACAAATTTGTAGTATCTTGGCATTTTGTGAAATTTCCCATCTTCTTTCAAAACAAAACAATTTTTTTTCAAAGTCGAGCGAAACTATTAAAACATTTTGATGATATATAAAATAATACTTTTTTGTTTGAAAAGAAAGATTGAGAAATTGGTTAAAGATGCAAATAAGCTTTTTAAAAAAAAAAACTACTCCTATTCTGTAAATGTGTCTTTATCATTAATTTTTTCTTTTTCCATGGCAAATTATACTTTCTTTGGAAAACCTATGAAATATTGGAGATACCCTGTTTACTAAACCATTTTCAAGAAGCCATTTGTAATATCGTTTGGTTTGCAGCCATGTAAATGAGCCACCTGCTCATAAGAAAAAAAAAATCTTTAGGCAAGTTCGGCCTCTTGTCATTTCAAGTCAGCTGTGCCTGCTTCCATTTGGACATCTCCAGGTTATGTACCATCATTCATGCTCTTAGCTAATTGTGGACACATCTACCGTTTTAATGTCATGATTTTCACTCTTCAGATTTTTAGTTGTTAAAAAGTGAAGACTTGTGCAATCAGAAGAGAAAGGGATTTCTAAAAGTTCATTTTGAAATCAGCATATTCTCTCTGTTCATTTCACTGTAATCAATATAGAAATAAAGAAACTTACTAAACATGTAGCTTCTTGCCTTTTTTAGTGGCAGAACTAATTCTTCTTGGCTGAGACATGCCTGTCAATTGTAGACAGAGCTTGTCAGGCCTCGTTGATTGGAAAGCCTCACAAGCTGCTTGACTCAAGGGTAATAACTAAAGTCATCTTCATGTATAAGAAGTTCAGCAGGAGAACAAGGGAGATTCTGTCATTCTAACTTTCTTCCTAATTTGGTCCTCCTGAAAGGGCTTTAGTATTAGATAACATTACAGTTTGCTTTCATTTTAAAAATAGTCATTCGAGGTTATATTTTCACTCAATACAAATTTTACATTGGTTAGTGTGACTAGATGAATATTAATATCAGTTCAATCCTAAGATTCTGTGATTTTCTGAAAAACCTTCTAAGGCTCTATATGCCAGTTTTCAGCAGAGATGACAAATGATCAGTCTAAGGGAGACTACTTTTTTTCCCCAGAGTGTCAGACAACTATTCATCAAAGTAAATTATAATACCCTACCATACTGTAGAGATAAAGAACTTAAGTAAAATGGTGCTTATCTTGAGAACTTTTAATGGCTCATTTGTTTTGCAAATGGTGAATTTATTTCTAAAATAACTATTAAGTTTAATGTTTTTTTCTTAATCCATAGTGGGTTCCAGTCCTACAGGATTTCAGCAGTAAGGGCACACTCTGGGGCTTTGTGCCATTTGTGCAGGAGCAATCAACTGAAATACCAATTCCAATTACCCTTCATATTGGAGACTACAACATGGATGGTTATCCAGATGCTCTTGCCATATTGAAGAATACATCTGGAAGGTAGGGAAATTAAGTCAAGTGAGAAATGTTTACGAAGTATCTTCATTCTGGCACTTTCTAACTAAATAGCACCTAAATATGTTACAGTCCCTTAAATAAGGAACATGATGAGCTCAATTCCTATTTCTTTACATGGTCCCTGAACTTCTCCTAACTCCTTAGAATACCTGTTCTTTTTCACACATTCATTTACTGTAGAACAAAAATGAATATCTAATCTAAAAAAAATTATTTTTCATTTAATAAAACTTGATCTTTAAAAGGTCAAAATTTTTTATAGGCAGATGACCCAATTACATTTTGAGACTGAAGACCATGGTGGTTAAGAGCTGACCCTATGCTTCAGTTTCAGTCCAGCCACTTACCATCTGTGAAATGTTGAACAGATTACCTAAACTCCTCATCTGTAAAATGAGAGTAATAATTATACTCCTGTCATGGAGTTATAGTAATGATTAAATGAGTGCTTGCTTCAGCAGCACATGTACTAAAATTGGAATGATACAGAAAAGATTAGTAAGGCGCCTGCACAGGGATGACACACAAATTCGTGAAGCATTCCATATTTTTTTGATGAGAGGGGGGAAAAAAGATTAAATGAGGTAAAAGTAAATGAATCATTTAGTGAGATACTCTGCACATACTGATTTTATTTTCAGTAATTGTTACATTATTAGTGCTTGTTTTGTAATGGCATTGGAAATTCCAACATGACTATTGATATTATTTGTATATATAGAATGCATGAGTACATTTATTGTATTACCAGTGATTTTAAATGCTGTAGCTACTTTTGTTTTTGAAGTAGAGGTACTAATAGGAAACCAATATAGTTAAACTCATAATTAGCCTGAATCTTGGCAGATTCCATAAATGACTGTTGCTAAATTTTTATACCTTATTGTTTTTTTATCTCGCAATTAATTGTATTCCTTGGCTCTTATTCTCTCTTGCCTCCTTTATCATTTATCTATTCATAGCTTGTTCTGTATTAATTCATTTGTTGACCCTGGAATTAATCATGATTCAGCTCCACATTTACTGTCAGGAAAAAAAATCAGACCTATTATTGTTCTTAACACCAAACAATGTTGTCTAGAAATCCAATTGATAGAGAAACATGTATCATTAGTGTGTTCCTAAAATATTTCAAGATAAATGGGGATAGTCCGTACTTAAACTTTTCTGAGGACCTTCATTTGAATTTATAATGGCTCTGACTTGTGTTTACAGAGTTTTCCAGAGACATTGTTATACTCTGCTATATGGAGTTTATACGCACTCCTAGCCTATGTGTGTGAAGCAAATTGGATGTAACCAAAAGAAACTTCTGAATTGAACATGAGTATTTTTCCTTTTAAAAGTTTAGTGGCACATAAAAATGAAGAAATATAAAATTGCATCATTTTGGACATTAGCCGTATTCAAAAGAATAAGAAATTTTATCAAATTCATTTAAGCCTATGATTGCTCACCCTTAGAATGACATCCAAATAATTTATGTTTTTCCCACAAAAGTTATTAACATTTTCTCTTTTAAACCTTTAAATACTTAAGTTTCTTTATCAGGCAGTTCATTTCTCTATCAGCTGGAAAGGACATTGGTGTTGAGGGATAATAACTACGATGGCTTCTGGTGCTTTGACGAAACCTCAGATGTATGGCCTTCTGGCCAGGTGTCTGTGATTTCATATTGTTGGAGCATTCGCTGTATCACTGAGGGTTGTAGCTCTGTATTAGTTTGCTGTGGCTGAACCAAGAAAGAAGGCATATACAGATTTCTACAAAGATTATAATTCCATGAAAGATTTTGAGGAGATGAGGAAGGCTGGTATCTTTCAGAGTGAAAACTGATTTTCTAATGCAAAGAATTTCTTTGGATTGAGTTTCATAGAAGTTTGTCACACCTGTGTTGCTGAACTATGAAACATGAATATGTGGGCTAAGGGATATTTTCTCTTAATAAATGAACAATTAACAAATGCTGGGGGGGAAAAGTTTCTTTACTATTCAGCAATGATGATAGTTTGAACAGCTAATCAATAGCAGTGAATACTATAGCTTTAAAGGAAACATAGGTACCAAGGGCAGTGATATTTGTTATGAGTCTTGATACTTTAATAGCAGCAACTGTTGAAACCCAGGACTTCTTTTCTGTTCTTTTGGGATAGATGAAAATTGAAGGATAAATTTCAGTTCGTCTCAGTGTTCGTTCCATCACTAGATGAGAAGTAGCCCTAACTTGAAGCGGAAACATCTGTCTGTGAGAATCCACCATAACATGCTCCTTCACACATAGAATTAGGAAAGAAATGGTGGGCATGATCACCCTCTTTTAGATTAATCTATGTTTGTTGAAAAAGCAGTTTATAATTTTTAACTGATTTTCAGACTGCTAGATTGCTGAGAATTAGTGTCCGGATATGTTTCTAATTTGAAAGGTTCCCGGCTGGAGAATTCTGCCTCCTTTTTTGTATAGATTTCAAAAATTAGGTATATACTGCAGATGAGAATAAAATCTGCAACGTGTATTTCATAAAAAGAAATTCTAAAACTATGCTTTGTTAACTTGTTTTGTGTTTTGTTTTTGTTTTTGTTTTTAGAAGAGGGTTGTTTCGGTTTCCATCTGTTTTTCGTTTTAAACTAAAGGCCTAATTTGTAATAAGTTAATCTTTAAAGTTATGTTACATGAAAAAGATCTCTACTAATAACATTTTATAGAGGCAGTGAGTTACTCTAAACAACATAGTCAGAGATCAACTGCTTTACATCTATGCCACCACAGACTGAAAACCCTGGGGTTTTTTCCTGTGGCTCTCCCATTGCTACTCAGTTCCCTGTGTTTACTGTCATATTATATGTAGTCATGTTACCTAAATTCTCTAAATTTTCATTTTTTTTTTTTGTCTTTTTTCGTGACCGGCAATGGATCGCAACCCTCAGTGTCGCGCCCGTACCGGACCGGGACCGGCAATGGGATCGCAACCCTCGGTGTTGCTCCCGCACCTCGCTCAGCCAGTGAGCGGCCGGTCTGTGTACCGGACCGGGACCGGCAACGGGATCGCAACCCTCGGTGTTGCTCCCGCACCTCGCTCAGCCAGTGAGCGGCCGGTCTGTATGTGGGATCCGAACCCTCGGCGGGAGCGCTGCCGCACTTCCCAGGCAGCGCACTGTAGCAGTGCGCCACTGGGCTGGCCCCTAAATTTTCATTTTTTTGAGAGAAGAAAGGTAAGATGACATTGTTCCAATGGTATACTCTTAAGCCAATAGTAAAATATAATTCTGTTTTTTAGAAATTATTTTTTAAAATTTCATTTATAAAGTAAAACTGAAAAGATGTTTTATTTCCCAAATCTTTAGTATGACACTGAAAAGCTTTTTTTAAAAGGAACTGAGGGATAAGTTATAAAAAAGAATATTTGGGCACCATTTATCTAATTAAACTCTTGCTCTTATGAATTTCTAATCAGTATTACTTTTAATTAACAAGAACTACTAGTAAAACTAATACAGAAAGATGAAAAGTTGGATTTAAGTGATTTTTGCCCAATATTTGGAATATGGGAAATTTTATGTGTGTTAGAAAGAATTCTCTCCTAAATGCTCCCCTAGATGTCCTCATGTCATAGGTCAAATTAAATCTGAATTATAATTTAGAGTTTCTATTAGGGTTCTACAGGAAAATTTGACAAATCATACTTAAATTAATGTTCTAGACTTTATTCAGTCATTTTCTAAAATGCAAAAATAGAAAATAGATTGTGATTTGCTCATAATAAATACCTGTTTATTTAACACTGGTGCTATAATCTAGAAGTTGTGTTAATGATTTATCATTATATCAACCACATACAGTGTATATTTCAAGAATTGAACTGAGTAGCTGTGTACCTAGTCTTTATTCTGACTGTTCCATATCATCTTCATATGATAAAACCAGAACGTTATATATATATGAAACTGCATAGCAAAACCTCAGCTACCATTAAGCTTTTATAGGAGATCCATTCCTAGAAGTAGCTTTAAAAAATGTTTTTTTTGACAACAAAGGAGCATAGTCTGAGTATCAGCCATGAGAACATCCAAAACCTTTTAAATGGCAAATAAATCAATAAATGGCTGAATGCACAATGTTACTTGTTACTTGATGCCAGGAAGAAAACAACTTTAGTTTATAACGTGATTTTAATGCATATTACTTCACAATAATCTTTTTTAGGGTGATATTATCTCTATTTTATAAACATGAAAATAGTCTCAGATAAACAAGACAGTTTGTCCAGTGCCACACAGCCGGTAAGTTGTAGTCAGGACTCTAAGTTCTCAGAATCCAAAATCCTTTTTCTCTCCCTCTAAGAAAAAATTTATAAGGAAACAAGGAAGTGATAGATAAGCAAAAATAACAGATTTTTAGCAGAGGTTACAAGTGATGGTATGGGCAGATAGTAAAAGTCACTCTGATGAGAGAAAATAAGCAAGTAAAGATAAATAAGATCCAGAAGTTCTCTGAGTCCTGGAGAGGAAAAAACAAATGCCTGTTAATACATTCCATAGCAATAGCGCCTCAGCAGAACTGCTTGCTGTTCAAAGAGATCATGTGTAAGCATGTGGTCAGTAATTCAGAAACCAGAGGTAATATTTAGCAATATACATTCAAACCACCATTAGGAGAGGGTGGAAAATGACCAAAAGCAAATTGGGATCTGAGACTTTTTCAAGAAAGTAATTGCAGGGAACTTCTACTGAAGGTATTAGCTAATTACCCATTCGGTTATAATCTATATTACATTTTCATCTGCATTCTCAGCTTTAAAATAGAATGATTTAGCTTTACATGGATGGCGCTGATTCACCACGAAAAGGTTATGTTATGTTTCAGATGTTCTGCTTTAAAGGAAAGGAGGTTGAGAGCACAGGGACTTAACATCTGTATGAACATTTCTAGCCACTTTTGTTTTTTATTTTTGCTGTGAAGTGTTTCAAAGGGTTTCATCATCACT